TATATATATATATATATATATATACGAACATACATCTTTTTTTGTTGGTTTCTTTTTCTTTTTTTCGGTTCCCTTTTCCTCTCCTTGCACCTCATACACTATCTCATCAACATCCCGCTCGAGTCTTCTCCTGCCGATGCCGATGCCGCCGCCCGCCCTCACCCAAACCCGCCCCACACGCAGACACAACGACGAACAGACAAACCAAAAGATAGAAAGACCAAGCACAAATCATAAAAACTGAAAAGGAGGAATGATTTTCACTTACAAAAGAGAGCGAAACAGAAGTAACCGAAGAAGGCGGCAACTCCGGGGGTGGGAGGCGTGCGCTGCGTCGAGGTGCAACGCCGCCGCCCGCCGCCCTCCTCGCTGGCGCGTGAACACCAGCAGCGGCAGCAGCAGAAGGAAGCAGGGGGGTGCGGAGGGGGGGGGGGGGNGGGGGGGGGGGAGCAAGACGTCGACAGCACACACACAATAAGAAAAAGAAAAAAGAAAGAAAGAAGCCGAGCAGAAGCGAAAGAAACACAAAAACAGAACAAAAAATGTGGGCTGGTGCATTTGTGAGCGTAATGTAAAACTGAAACAAGGAGAGAGAGAGAGAGAGAAACGAGATTATCCCCTCCTCCTCCTCAGTAAAGGGAGTCATCGGCGCACAAGCGGGCAGCACCAAAAGCACCCATAAAAGCGGTGCTATGTGCGCCGCAAGCAAACAAACCAAGGGGGGGAACGGTACAACTGCGCACCAATTTCTCCCCCACCCCCTTCCATTCTCTCTCCCCCTCCTCTCCCGTCCTTTCGACCAGCTTTTCGCAGTTCTCTTTTTACCTCATTTATTCCTTGATTTTTCAAATAACATTATTTGCCTCCCTCCTTCACTTGCACGCTCACTGATACCAGCACTAGCATCTGCGTTGTCAATAGCAACAAAAACAACAACAGCAGCAGCAACTGCATGACCTCCTCACGTTTCACGTGCTACCCCTCACGCATCCGGCTTGCAAGTGCCGAGGTCTGCCACAGCCCGCGCGCAGAAGTCCCCAAACATAAAGCGCGCATTCTATTATATATATATATATATATATATAATATCGTACATACACCGAAACTGTGTATTTGTGGTCGTCCAGCGCGGCACAGGGTGCAGGTAGTGCCTTTCTTCTCGCACAGCTACGCCATACTCTCGGTGTAAATAGTCCATGTTTTCACTGTGTCTATTCCTTGCTCAGCCTTTACGCGCGCTGCGAACGTGGCAAAAACTATATTGTGACGGATGAGCGTACTCAGCAACGCTGCTGGCCCATGACCTCCGCGAGCCACGCGTGTCCTATCATCGTCTGCGCCGAAGGCCGTCCTGTGGGAGTGTACGATGACAAACAGGCCATGATGAACGCAGCAGCGCTCTTCGCCTCGGTGGGTGGTAAGAATAGCTCCAGTTCACGGTCAAGGTGGCGGCGCGGGTACAGGCGGTATTTGTCGGCGTAGATGAATCGGCCGCTCTCATTAAAGTAGCGGTGAATGTAGCGCGGTGGCGGGCGGCCACCCTCACGCCCCGCACGGAGGCGAATGATCTCCTCTGGCACGGGACCTAGCAGCTGCATCATCATCGCTAGGTGCTCCACGTCCATCATACGCTCGTTCCTGGTGCGCCGTTTCGGGTCCATAAGGAAGTCGCCGGTGATAAGCTCGTACACCATGCAGCCAACGCTCCACATATCGGTGCGTGTGTTAAAATCGAGGCCAATGAGGACCTCCGGTGCACGNTACTCACGGGTCTGAATCATTGTACCGCGTTGGTTCAGCACCGTGCCCGCCTTTTCTACAGGGAACTCCTTCTTGCCTCCTACCAAGCTGTCCAAAAACGAGCAGTGTTTGCGCCCCTGCGAGGTTTCGGCAGACGCAGACGGCTTCACCGCGACAGAGAGGCCAAAGTCTGCGATGCACACTAAGTGATTGGGGTCACCCTGCAACATGGCCTCCCGTACCTTCTCGTGTGGCACCATGGATGAACGTTCCTTATTACGCCGACAGAAGGATTCAATAACATCGAGTATTTTGGAGTCTGGCGAGGTGCAGAGAACGTTTTCCGGCTTGATGTCTGTGTGAATTACATCCAGCTTATCAAGCTCCGAAAGACCCATAAGTATGGAGACGATAATTTCTTTGATCATATAAATCTCCGATGAGCTACGGATGCACTTATTTGCCTTGAGTTGGTCAATGATGCTGAGGAGATTGGATCCATGCAACGGCATCACCATGCAGACATGGGAACCGTATTGGCCTGTCACTTCAAAACGATCCACAAGGTTCGTGAGGGGTGCCTCGTGAGATGACTGCGACCCAACGTAGCGAAGTAAGTTGATTTCATACTGCGTGCTTACCGACACGGCGCTGTCACACTTGGCTATCTTCAAGGCAACAAAAGCTTGATGTGGCTTACCGTGCGTCATGTGCATCGTGTCATACGCCAACCACACGGTGCTAAACTCTCCCCAACCCAACTTCTGCACAACCACATAGCGGGAGTTCAATTTTTTACCTGGTGTGACAGTCATGTATCCTCCTTCAGAGTATGCGTTCTTGTTCTCCTCGTAATGGTTGCGCCACCGTTGAACAAACTGACGCAGAAGAACCCGTGAAGAAGCAAAAGAAGCTTTCACCATCACAGGAAGCGGGGATTCCACCACAACACGACTTGTCATATGTGAAGTCTCCGTGCTGCTGCGGCTGCAAGTGCTGCCATGAGTTGGTGTTTTGCTAGGTGTCACAGCTGCTGATGAAGCAGATTTTGTCACCACCGCTGCGAAAGCCGCATTTGTCACGGGTTTTTGAGGTCCTCTCTTGATCGCACTATCGCTATTGAGGGAGCGATGCAAGACCGTTGAGCGCACAGTTGAATACATCGAGAGCGTTGACGTTGCTGGAACCGGCTTTCGGTATGGGGTGATGCACAAACTTTCATGAATAGGAAACTCTCTGTTAAGAGTGCTATTCAGGCTGATTCCCTGCGGAGTTCCACGGCCGCTGCTGGCCAGTGATGGTGAGTTATGTGGAGAATTGTAGAGATCTGGCGTTTTTGGACGTCGCCCTGCAGGCGTGACAACCCTTTGCACAGACTGCTGCGGGAGAATTTCCGTCAAAGTTGGCGTACGGCACGGAGAATCCGGAGACCGCGTGGCATCCCACACCTGATTCACCGTCGTCGGCTTTGTTGGCCCGATGGTCAGATTCTTTGAGCTCGTTGTCTTCGTCTGGAACGAGAATCCATCATCGGTGTTGGAAAGATCGTTGCTGCTTGTTACGAGGGAATCGTCGTCCTTTCTAATTCCTTTGAACTTCTGCCCAGTAGCCACTTGCTGGAAATGTTGTAGTTCTTGTTCTTGCTCCCGCCGTTGTTGTTCAAGCTGTTGGCGTTGTTGTTCTTGTTGGCGTTGTTGTTGCCGCTGAATGGAGAAAGAATGCTCGCGGGCCGATAATGGACGAGCCGAGGCGGCGTGGTCGAGGAGCGGCGGCTGTCCACTGTGACCTCCGACGCGGCGCGCAGACGACCCTGCCGTGCTGCCGCGGAAGAAGGTGGAGGAGAAGGCGCGCCCGTTAAGCGTTTTGGGCCGCTGACTCCCCGGCATGCAGGGCGAGTACTCCACCGGCGTCACCTGATACCTACGCTGTGTGAGGATGGCGCAACGCGGGGACATCACCCCTCCACTCGCAACGCGTGCCCCACGAGCAGCGAATATGGGTGACGCACGTCGCGGTGTGAAATCGTCACGTCGCGTGAAGACGGCGGTGCTGCGGTACTGGAGTGGACTCAGCGGGGACATGACAGGCCTCGGCCTTTCTGACGTGTCTGCGTACCATGAGCTCATCGGGCTCTGCACCGGCGTGCTGGGTGAGAGGCGGTTGAATGGCGGCTGTCGCAGCGGGGAGGCGCACGTTTCAGCGCCAGCCATTGACATGTTCGTCGCTTATCTCACGGGGAACTCAAAGCAATCGTATATAAACGTTGGACGCTGCGTTTGCTGCTGCTACGTCTGTCTACTGCTATTTTCTCAGTTTCTTTTCTTTAAAGATACGAGTGTGTGTGTTTGGCCTGATTGTTTGTGGGTGATTCCGTGTGTTTGTGTGTGGATGTGTAAGTGGGCTGTATGTGTCTGTCACTTAAGTAACTAACGAAACACGTACAGCTGGAAAGTGTTTGTATCCGCCGGCGGCACCGTGTGTATCTTCCTTCCGTCTTCCACTTCGTTTCTTTTCTTTTTTTTTTT